TTAAACTCTTTATCCTCATTTTAAATATTATTCCCCATTACATAGATTAGAATATTAGACAAAGTTCTGCTTTTTACCTTTTCATACTTTCTTTAATCTTTTTCTAAAATTTGGGTAAAAATCTAGACGATATGTCAATATTATTCCGAATTTTTTTTAATATAAAAGGTAATTAAAAATCTAGTGCCTTCTAAAAAACCGAAATGTCAGAACTAAAGCAAAAAATTCTTCTACTTGTGGAAAAATCATTGATTTGCATTGCAAACTATAAATGCAGTCCATTTTTAATTTGATTTCCGTATAACATGAAAATTTCGACATAAGAATATTGAAAAATATCTAACCCCATAAATTAACTTAATAAATAGGAATTTACATAGTACCACAAATATAAAACAAATCTACAGAACCTAATCAACGAAATCCATATTTACTATTACTATAGGGCTCCTTTAACACTAATCAACTTATTCTGTTATATATTTCAACCGAGCTCTTGAAACATCATAATATTATACACTTACAGTATGTATTTTTGAACTTCTTTAAGATTTCTATATGAATTTTGTATTCAACTTTTTGTATAATTTTGAAATGTTTATAAAACCGAATTTTGAAAAAAAGAGAACCGAATTCCTTTTTGTTCTTGCTTTGAGTTTATAATTTTGATGTCTATAAGATATTTTAATTTTGTTTTTTAACTTGCGTAAAATTATTATTATAGTATGTACGCAAAATGACAGTATATATGTGTGTACTGTAGGTAAATTTTTCTTAAATAGGATTTTCGAAGTTGACTGAATATTTTAAATTGAATATCAAAAATATTTCTACTCGGCCTAATCTTTCTATAAGAAATAAATAATGAAATAAGAACTTTGGATTTAAGTTTATTTTTATTTTATTTTTAACTCGAAAGATTTCTAAAGACATATATTAATTATTTTTGTCCTGGGTCGAAGAAAGTAAATAAAAATAAGTAAAAACTTTTCAGTCAGTATAAACCGATTGCATTATATCCTGCACCTTTCATTGTTGTATGGCAATTACTCAACCCTGTGAAACCACTCTATAGAAACTTTACGGATGTCTTTGACTTATAGTTGGACATACGAAGCCAAGTTTCATGAATCTCACTTTATTCCATTATTTAAAATTAGCTTTTGAACTTGTATGGTAGCTACCCGAATCTGTCCAGCAATTCCACCAAAACTTGAGAAATATATGTGACCTATATGTGAATAGGTTACACAACTGCCAAGTTTCATTAATCTGACTTTAATATTTTTCCAAATATTTAAAATTATCTTTTAAATTTGTATGGCATCCCTCCTATTAAAATTTTAAGAGCGTGTGTAGAAAATTGGACACACGTATACAAAATGTCATATTTATACCTTTAATAGTTTGTGATATATTTGAAATAAACTCTTTGAGTTTTATGGCAGCCACCCGAACTCGCTGTCCGAATTGATTCATTTGCAATAGGGTTTGTCCTTGGCACAAAAAAACAATTTGTTAAATTACATTATTCGTTTTTGAGTTATCGTGCGATCGGTAGGACGGACAGATATGGCTAAATCAACATAGAATTTTAGGCTGAGCAAGAATATATATGTATATATATGTCCACACAGCAGATAACTTCTTCAAGTGGTTACATACTCTATACCAAAGTTAATATACCCTTCACGAAAGTGCAGGGTATAAAAAACAGAAAAATAACAAAAATTGTTTTTATATCACATCCTTGATTTTTAAAATAATTTAGGCCATGCTGCAAAATCTTTAAAAGAAGCTGATAAATATTCAGTTTGTTTTATAAAATTCAATATCCATTGCATACAGTGCAAATAAAAATTTGATGTGGTCACCGACCGACCGCAATGTGTATTGTCTAGTTAAATGAAAGTGTTACAGAATATTATAAAAATGTCTGTTAATTACTTTTTTCCAATTTTTAGGACATTAGTAAGCTTATAGTTAACATACCTAGAAAAATGTAAATTTGGCTCTTAGTAAAGTTTCGCTTTGTGTTACCCGAATTCCCTGAAATGCTCGCCAGTTAATTTCGGTAACAACCAGAACTCAAATATCAAATTTCAAGAAATTTCATCAATACCGTAGATATGGTGAAAAATGTAAAATCGGCCTGTAGATCAGTTTTCGAGCCCTGATCTTACCAAAAAATTTATATGTTCATTGTTTCAACACGAAGAATTTAAATATTAAATTTCAATGAAATTGGTCGATTATTTCTCTTTATATAGGCAAAAATGTATATTTGGCCCGTAGTAAACGTCCAGTTGCTGATGCCTGATTTCTTCCAAAAGTTAGGAATTTTCGTGTACGGTCGAGCAAAGCTTATATATGAAATTTCAAGTAAATCGGTTGAACGTTTTCTTCAAAATGGTGAAAAATGTAAAATAGGCCCGCTAAAAAGTGCAGTTCCCGAGGCCTGATATATCCCAAAAGTTGATCAATCCGTGCCATGGTGGAAATAAACTTCATCAAAAATAAAATTTTATCAAAATCGGTTCAGCAGAACTTGAAATACACGCGTGCATACACAGACTGATAGACCGACAGGTTGCTAAAAATAGTTTATTTACACTTCCCTACTATGGAGAAGTGCATTCCCACCGATATGCAAAATTTGTTGCCATCACATAGCCTACCTATTGTATACACAATACGGTCGGTAAAAATCAAGAAATGTATGAGGTGGGCTAACACGATTATGTGAACTTTCTTTACAAAGATTCTTGCAACTTTTCAACTAGCTTCTAGAGTGTGATTGGAAAATCTTAAAATGTAGAGAAAAATGTTTCAATATTGTTATTAACGATAAAAAGGACTATTTTCGGCTAGTTTTCCCAACAAGTTCAATCAAACTTTTAAATTCAATTTTCTCGAAACTGACTAAATGGCGCGTGGCATTAAATAATTCTCAGCCAACGATAAGTATTTATGTAAAAAAATACATAAACATTATAGAAATATTATCTATTTTAAAAAATCAATACTGATGTAAAACTGTCTGTATTTTTTGTGAACTATTAAGAATGTCAGGAAAGGAAAATCAAAGTAGAAATCCTAAATATGCTCTTTTCAGCTTTAATTTTATTGTATACGAGTATCAATAACTAAATTTTTAAAACGGCATAGAAAAATGTTTTTTAACTATATTTGCGAATGGCTCTAGGGTTGAAAAAAAGAAAGGTTTTTTATGTGTATGCTTAATGGTAGTTGGAGCCGTCCAAAACAAAAATTCTATGGTATATTTTTTTTATATTTTGCTTTAAATATGCAATATACTTACATATTTATTGAATGAACCGACATCGATTCAATTTAAATGTACCTAAAATAAATTTTTATGAATCTTTCCACCTTACATTTTTACATTTTTGAGTTATTCGTTAATGCGCTGAAAGCTTTTAAGTTTTATAAGTGGGAAAACGCCCTTTTCTTTTAGCTTAAAAAAATATATACCAATGTAAGTGCGGAAAATTTGTTGTTAAAGATTAAGTAGCAATTGCTTCTAAATTTTAATACCGTTTTCCGAATAGACGAGTAAAATCGGAAATCATTTATGTTTATTTACAATTTAAACCAGGGTAAAAGATTTAAACATGGGTACAATTTAAACATGGGTAAACAATTAGCTCTTAGTTCAGTTATGCATTAATTGTTAGCAACTCATCAAGCAATGTTCAGATATTTTTTTAACAAACTCTATTAAAATAATTGTATTAAAACTAAAAATGATATATAACATTGTAATTGCTCTGGATATTTTCTTTTTTATTCTTTTTAAATAGCAAAAATCGGATTCAAATTTCAGCATTGTGAAACTAGAACTTTTGTTCTGTCATTAAAACTAGAATGACAGAACAAAAGTTTTTTAAAAATCTTTAAAATGAAATTATAGTACACTGTACCATTTAAGTTTCACAAAGGAATTAGGAACGAAAATTTTTAAAACCAACTCTGGCTACAGGATAATCCACACATAAAAATTCTAACATATTAATATAACAAATTAAAATAAAACTATTTTTGTATATAGCATTCGAAAAAGTTATAGTGAAATGTGAACATAAAGAAAATTTCTTCAAATATACATAAATAAAACTCTCTTTCGACGTACAATGCTGCGTTCCAATAAAAAATATTTTACGTATATACATACGTACATACATATTTTCATTTTAGTACAAAGAAAAAACTACATAATCACATTTATATTATATTTTATGAACATGTTTGTTTTTATTATAATAAAATTTCCTACAAAATCATTCCCTTTTACAAAATTATTAATACGAAGAAAAGAAAATTAGAAAAAAATTTCTCACAAAATATTTTTCTTCTATTTTTTTAAATGTATTTATGGTGCCTGTCTGAACTTTTATACACATAGGTGAACAAGGACTTCTATACACAAAAAAAAAAAAAAAAAATTAAATAAAAAAAATTTTTCAAATTATTAGAATTTTAAATATTGGGAACGTTGAGAGAATTTCATATTTACAAAGAATGTTCAAATTATGCCGATAATTTTTCGAATTCTCTAGACTTAATAAAAAAATGTAATAAACGCATAAAAATTTCATAATACACACGTACGAGTACATACATACATGCATGGTTTACATAATATGTGTATGTACATATATAATATGATTAGCTTTAATAATTAATGAAATTCAATTTTGTAAAGGTTTTTAAAGTTCGATGATTTACTTTATAAATGAATAATTAAATATTCTGGTAGACGCAGACTTTATATAGTCACGAATATCATAAAATAATTTCTTGGAAAACTTTTAACATTAAAATTTATTATTAATGTATAAATCTGAGGTTAGTTTTTATATTAATAAACAAATCCGTATTAAAAAGGTTTGGCATTGAACTCACCAACATAAACGCATACACATAAAACATGTACATACTTGCATATATATGTATATTTATACACTTAGGATACTTACATAACCAAAACTTTGAAAAATATCTGAAAAATAAAATAAATAAAAAAAAAATAAATTAATAATATGGAATTGATAAAATCTTTAAGCAAACAAGAGTTGATTTGGTATTTTCAATAAATTTTATTGAAAAAATGTTTTTTTTTATTGTAAAATCTCTTAAAAATAGGCTACATACATTTTATATTAATACCATTATTTTTATTTTGCTTATATTTCATAATAAATTAAAAACATTTTGATAAGGGGTACAAAAGTAAAGCAATTTTAGGGCAACAAACACAAACTACATTTGTTTTAAGCGTTCTAAGATAAATTAAATTTAAAATTTTAAATTGAATTTTGGAAACAAATTTGAGGTTATTTGATCTAAATTTCTTTCTAATTCGAAAATGGCTCCCATTCTGCTTTTTCAATTTGAAGTTACTATTAACAATTGTTTCAATTATTGCAGAAAACCCAAATTTTAGTTTACGCGTTTTAAAGGACTCAGTAGAATATACATATAACTCATTTTTGTCTTTTATCGAGTTAGGCGGTTTGTGTCTACGACCATGATTGCTTTTTAACTAGAAGTGAATACAAGAACTCCTTTAATATTAAAGAATGCTAACTTACTTAGAATAGAATGCTTATAGGTACATTGTACTATTCTTTGAAAATTATTTGAATTTTGATAATTCGTGTGTATTTTGAATTTTAAACATGAATCTTAATATGCAAATGGGTTTACATACATATTAATATTGCGTTCATATAATGTGTGTACATAAATATACAATTTTGAAAATATGAATACTATGTGAATTACAAAATTTGACTTTCTTCAATATCGCAAAATTTTATTAGGATTAAAAATTGAAGTTTAAAATATAATTTTAAATTTTCTTTATTTGATCTGATCTAAAAAGATGCAGATCTTGATAGTTTACCCGAATTAATAACTATATCATTATAAAAATTAAGACAAATAAATAAATTTGGAATTTTAATCATATTTGTAAAAAAGAAAATACTCATCATTAAATATACACACATACGTACATGCATATATAATGTACTTATTCGAAATAAAACCTACAACAAAATCTTAATTTAATTGGAAATCATCTTGTCATTATATGTGAACTTTCTGTTCAATTGTTTTTGATATTTTCATTACTAATATCAACAAAATGACATTTTTTCCAACTAGTTTTTACAACAAGATCTTATATATACAAAAAACAATATTGTTTAAATGTAGAAAAACGTATTTATGGTTTCATTTCGACTTCACTTGAGTCAAAAATGAAATAGAGATGAATATTGTATAGAAAAACTATTTTGTTTATTCAAAAAAATAAGAATCAAAGCGCAAAAAAAACGATAGATAAAAAGATGAAGGAAACGTTACAAACATAAATTGTCTAATACGTAACAGTTGTTGTACTCAGAATTCACAAAAACTTTTTTCCTAATTTTTCTTTTTTGCATTTTTTTGAGCTCCCATGGAAAAAGGAAACAAAAGTTTATATTTTGTTTGTTCTTGTTCTTTTTTCTTCATAAATCTAACAAAACGACCGTTTGTTTGTCTACTTAAATTGTGTTAAATTTAAATAATATCAAATGTTTCGTACCCTTGAATTTACACAATTATGTAACCTTAAAGAAAGTTATTAAAATATCAGAGAATATAAGAAAAACGTTTAAGTTCAGTGGAAGATTCGTTTCTAGTACTTCATCCATAAAGAAATCTGATGTGATCAGCACATAACAGACCACAATGTGTATTGTCCAGTTAAGTGAAAGTGTTACAGAATATTATAAAAATGTCTGTTAAATACTTCTTTCCAATTTTTAAGACATTAGTAAGCTTATAGTTAACATATCTAGAAAAATGTAAATTTGGCTCTTAGTAGAGTTTCGCTTTGTGCTGTCCAAATTCCCTGAAATGCTCACCAGTTAATTTCAGTAACAACCAGAACTCAAATATCAAATTTCAAGAAATTTCATCAATACCGTAGATATGGTGAAAAATGTAAAATCGGCCTGTAGATCAGTTTTCGAGCCCTGATCTTTCCAAAAAATTCATACGCTCATTGTTTTAATACGAAGAATTTAAATTTTAATGAAATCGGTTGATTATTTCTCTTTATATACACAAAAATGTATATTTGGCCCGTAGTAAACGTCCAGTTGCTGATGACTGATTTCTTCCAAAAGTTAGGAATTTTTTCGGACGGTCGAGCAAAGCTTATATATGAAATTTCAAGAAAATCGGTTGAATATTTTCTTCAAAATGTTCAAAAATGTAAAACAGACCCGCTAAAAAGTACAGATCCCAGTAAAAATATTCAACTCTCTACTTTTTGTAAATTTACCATGAAATTTATAAATTTAAGTATATTTAATTTAATATATTTGTAAAATAAACAAAAATTATTGTTATATACACGGAATAAAGGGACTGGTTGGGCCTCACTTTTAACTTTAATTTTACTTCACCTATGATAAACATTTCTGATGATTTTTCCTCTTTCTTTCTTTCTGTTTTTTTTTATTTTGTAATCCTAAAATCATCTTATCTTAATCCCTTTTTGTTTGATATTAATTTTTCCACATGGTTTTGCTACTTTGAAGTTTCACATTGTAACTTTTTATTTTTTTCCTGTTTTAACTTTCATCATATGTGTAATTCTTTACAATAGAATGTACTCGTATACATATTTTTTTTGAAATGTACTTTATTCAGGGTTTTTTCCATTTTAGATTTTTTCACTCGCTAAGCTTTAGTATTAGTTCAAGGATGTATAGTTCTTTAGTTTTTTATACATATTATATGACGTTATATTAAACTTGTTTTATGAGCTTAGCTGAAATTAAAGTATTGTGTGTTACAAGTTTAATGCTTGTAAACTTCGTAATTTACAATATAAACAATTCTCAAATTTTTACCTCATATAGCCGTCTTTAAAAACAGGCACTTAATTTATAAAATTCAACACTATTCAATTACATTAAGTTCAGTAAAAAACAAATTATCTATTATAATTATCTATAATATTGGAAAAAATTATGCCTTTTACCGGTTTATATATGCTCAGAACTTGTTTAAATTTTTTACTCTAAGTATTTTATTATTTTACATTACATACATTTTATACAGTTAAACATAAAAACGTGAAGAAATGTAAATGAATTTGCGATGAACACACGGATATTTTTGTATAATATATATAGCATATCATAAGGAGAAGGAAATTGTGAAAAACAAATTTTACAACAACACATTGCACGTACTAAAATGTCCTTGTTATGATGTGATTTCATTTTAATATTTAATTTTGTACACGTAACGTGAAAAACTGACATTAGATTAAAAATAATAAAAAAGCAAATAAATTATTAATCTTAATGAAGTAGTTTCCGACTGTTCAGATGAATTAATAATGCATTTTATGATTTCAATAAATAGAACTAATGTATAATTTAATTAAGGCAGAATTTCAATAAGATTTTTACATATTTTGAATTGACATAGCACTTATTTTAAAATGTGTGGCTGCCATTTTGTTATCAAGGGCCAAATGTTTAATATGCTATAGTCTACTTAACTTTTTAATTTACACTATAAAACAAGTTATTTATGATCAAATTTTTCTACATTATACATATATCCATATCTATAAATAGTATTAACTTCGTATGGCATAACAAGTCGGATTCTATTTTCTCTTTTGTTTGCATTTTGTTCCATTTGTATATACACATTATTTCTTATAATAATAGAATAAAAATAAAATTTATTTAAGACCATAAACGAATTGAATGTTAATAATCTATGTATTAACAAATAAAGAATGTATACAATCCATTACGCTTAGGATATATTACGTTTTCTCTTTTTTTCTGAATAACATTTTGTGAGAAAAGTTTTGTAAAACTTTTTTGGATACTTCTTCGTAATTTCATAAACAAAAGCAACAATTAAAAAAATCTGATGTCTGAAAATTTCCTGTTAAATACTTCTTTTCAATTTTTAGGGCATTAGTAAGCTTATAGTTAACATACCTAGAAAAATCTAAATTTGGCTCTTAGTAGAGTTTCACTTTGTGCAACCCCAATTTCCTGAAATGCACGCCAGTTAGTTTCGGTAACAACCAGAACTCAAATACCAAATTTCAAGAAATTCCATCAATTAGTTCCGTAGACACAGTAAAAAATGTAAAGTCAGCTCTCAGATCAGTTTCCGAGTCCTGATCTTTCCAAAAAATTTTGATTTCTTCAAAAATTGAGATTTCAATTAAATCTTTTGCATATTTTCGTCATAATGATCAAAAATGTAAAACAGGCCCGCTAAAAAGTGCAGTTCCTGATGCCAATGAAAAACGGTTCAACCGAACTTGAGATACATTCTTGTACAAACAGACCTACAGACCGACAGGCCGACAGGTTGCTAAAAATAGTTTATTTACATTTCCCTACCAAGGAGAAATGCGTTCCCAGCGAAAACTCGATATGCAAAATTTGTTGCCATCACATAATCTACGTATTGTATTCACAATGCGGTAATTGTGACTTTGAGTAACATAATATCAATGTTGCAAATGTGATGGATTTTTCCCATATCATGAAATTTGAAGAAACGAATATTGGAAAAGGGAATAGGGAAAGGGAATTTAACTTTTATAAATCACAACAATTTCACTGTTCAACGCTTTAGCCTTATGATTTACCATTTTATACTCATTGGCGAATTTTGCTGTGTTTTGGACGTTTCGTGATTGTAGCAATTTTTGAGTGAATTTTTAGATTGTTTTGTGGGGAAATCTGGAATAAACATTATACGAGTATTATATGGGAAATTCAGAAATGAAAATATCGCAACACTGCATTGCATTATTATTAGAATGAGAATTGAAAATATCATTTTTTCGTTTCCCTTTTTGTCATTTTTTTTTTATAACTTATAAACAAATATGAAATGTCCAATAATAAGACCATAAATGCGGTAGAAATATCTATCAAGGTGTCGACACAGATC